GTGGGGTCCTTTTTCAAGGGCGTGTAGGTGTCTTTGTCTCCCAATAGGTCCTGTACCTTCCTGTCGTACTGCTCCCTGTCTAAGACTACTGTGCATCTGCCCTTGTCTGCAGGAAGAATCAATATGTCTTGATTGGTGGCCAAATCTTTTGAGAGCGGTACGTTCTTCCCGTGTGATGTTACTAGCAGGGGGTTTGGAGACTTTCAGGGTGGTAGCTACTTTGGTGCGCAAGGCTTCAGCTTGTCTCTGTGGTAAACGTGCCCGACGAATTGCTGACTCGGTTTCTGTGACAATGTCAATGCTGGGAATCTTGTCGGGTGCTACTGCAAAATTTAGACCTTTAGAGAGCAGTGATTTCTCTGGTTCTGTGAGAGTATGGCTACTTAGGTTTTTTACCCACCTCTCGTCGGTTTTGGCCTGTGTAGTGGTTTTGGGTTCGGAACTGTTTGATCTCCAATTTTGTCTTGACTTGTCTGACTTTTGTTCCTTTTTCGACTTCCAAAAATTTGTCTTCACTTTATTTGCATATCAATCAACAGGTTGTACTTATAAACCTGCTTTCCCCTCTGGTCTCTCAGTCACTGACGAAAGCTAGTGGATACTAGCTGAAACGTCTGACGTTTTCAAAATCATATCCAGTTGCTTGAGTAACTGTTTTTTGGCGTATCGTATTACCTGGATGTCTAACCTTCATCAACGTCACTTGTAATGGTATCATCAGATTTTTATTTGCTGCATTGACTGTTACCAGCTATATATATATGAAGTATAAAATAAATAATGGCAATGATTTCTGAACAGTTTTTAGTATGAAACGTACGTCTCAAAGTCTGAAGCTTGCTGCATGTATGAAGACCTGCATGTCATGCTACAGTCAGTGTAATTATAATATTAATATCATTCAGGAGATATGCAATAAACAAACATTAAATTACACTGCCCTACATAATGATGATGATGATGAATGATGATGGCATACTGTAATTCACGATTTGTTCGCTGTACTTTTACGATCCTGGTTTTCTCGGTCACTTCTGTACCACAAACTTATGATTACTGTGAACAAATGATTCGCCAACTTTGTTCTGCACATGCCACCACTGTGAACATTTAGTTCATTTTTCTCAGACTGTGAACCTTTGCTACCGTGAACATCAAGTGAATTACAGTAACTGTCAGATGTAGGAAAGTGCCATTATTATTCCCTGCATGAGAACATGTATCAGTGTCATGGCAGTTGTGTTGGACTCTTGAGTCATTTATTATTCTTTCTCTTTCCGGCATCAACCCTGACAACCGACTGGTCTGCCCATTCACTACATCATGGTAATTCATTCATTTAGCTCATCTCTGCACTGGCCGCACAGATTCATAACGATTTGGGCAGAATTATCCTAGTATATTTGCACATATAATCTAATGGAAAATGTTATCTCTTAGTATCAGCTCTACCATTGCGATAAATAATGTAAAGGTTTAATTTTGACCAATTTGCATGTAT